GGGTTCAGGGTTTAGGGTTTTAAGAGAGAGGCGGGCCCGTGGGACCTGATCCCAAAACGATGCGAACTCGAGCAACCCTGGGCCTGAAATCCGTAGGGGTCTACAGAACTCCACCATACAAAGATGCACAAGCTTATGGGTGGACGTTGGCGGTACAAACTTAAAGTCTCCATAAAGTTTGCAAAGTATACAATACAAAGATTCACCAATTGATGGGTGGACGTTTGCGTTGGTGTCCTTAAAGTTCAAAAGCTTTACAATGTAAAGATACGCCAATTTATGGGTGGACGTCGGCGTTACAAACCTGTAGTGTCTTCAAAGTTCACCAAGTTAACAATGCAAACATACACAAATGTATGGGTGAGCGTTGGCGTTACAAACTTATAGTGTCCTTAAACTTTACTAAGTCTACAGTACAAAGATACACCAATTTATGGGTGGACGTTGGCGTTACAAATTTAGTCTTTAAAGTCTATAATTAAAGTTTACAGTGCAAAAGATACTCATTTTTTTGGGTGGACGTTGGCGTTACAAGATCGTAGTGTGCTGAAAGTTTCCTGCGATGCCGGAAATTTCGTCCTGTTTGCTTCGTTTGGCATGCCGTTGCAGTTGGCCAATGGATAACCGACACAGACCGGTGAAGAGGTTCATGAAGTCAACCGCGTCCGTCCTACCAGATGGAGCCGCATTGGTGTTCTCTGAAGCCCAAGGCTGTTGTCCGTGAGAAGACCCTCGGCGGTGTTCAAGTCCACGAGCCATCTGCGCCAGTTTCACTCACCCAGGGATTGCCGCAAGCAGCCGTGAAGCACCACCCGTTTTGCAACAGAATGAAGCCTTCAATGTCGTTGGAAGTCGTGTTTGTAGTAGCAACAGTCTGTTACAGGGCGGAAGTTAGCCGCGGTTGTCCAACAATCCTAGACCCTAGACCCTCTAAAGCCCGAACACACAAAACCTAAGTCTTAGGTAGCCCTACTGGTAGCCCTATTGCAGACGCTCAAATAATTACCGATACTATTCCTTAGAGTTTTTCCTTCTGTTTATAGTATAACATAAGCCCAAAAGCCTGTTCTAATCATTAAGGCCCCTACATTGCTTAGCTACTTCCTCGGTCCACTCAGCCCCCAAGCAGATGCGTAAGCCATCGTTCACACCTAAGCCCTATAACTTCTAAACCCCTGAACCCTTCAACTCTAATCCCCCTAGCCCCGAAACCCCAAACTAAGAAATTCTAGCAAGTTAGCGCTTCAGGAAAGCTGGGTTGGATTTGTCGTTTGGTGGGGCCCGGCACTTGGGGTCAAAGGTACTAGAGCAGCAGGGTTTAGGGTTTAGCATGTGGGATTTAAGGTTTGGTTTTGGGGTTTAGGGTTAAGGGGTCGAAGAATACCATTAATTGCTAAGCGCCAAGGCCCTAGTCTAATGCTTGCCAGGCAAGACATTAGTAATGCCCCCAAACCCTAAACCCTAAGACGGAATGTGGTTTTAGGGGTTGGTGCTCAGGGCTTTCCGTCAAGATCGGGATCAAGCTGTAACTGCACTGCAAGAGCGTCTTGGGGATGTGGATGCTTCTTCGAGTAACACAGAAGCCTCAGGATTTGGTATGAATGATGCTTCGTAACCAATGAAACTCATCAACCCATCAGGCCCTAAACCCTAAACCCTAAACCCTAAACCCTAAATCCTAAACCCTAAACCCTAAACCCCTAAACCCTAAACCCCTAAACCCTAAACCTTAAACCCTAATAACCCTACATAAAACCCAGATACCCCGGATGTGGTTGCGGCAAGGCTGCGATGGAGCTCGTGGAGAAGCTCCTTCTTTATCGGCACAAGGACTGCCATTAGGGTTTAGGGTTTAGGGGTTTAGGGTTTAAGGTTTAGGGTTTAGGGGTTTAGGGTTTAGGGGTTTAGGGTTTACTGTTTAGGGGTTTAGGGTTTAGGGGTTTAGGGTTTAGGGCAAGCATGCCAGGCCCCTAACATGTTAAAGTAGGGGCCTGAATAAGTGCCTATACTATTTTGGGGGGTCTCCTTAGTATAAATATAGTAGCATGGGCCCCAAAACATTATATTTTCAGTATAATGGGCCGCTAAACCTTGTTCTAATCATGAAGGCCCCTATATTAGGCCCCAACAGGTTAGCGTGGTTTGTGCAAGTCGGGAGCTTCGGGTTCCATGGTTTTGTAGGCCTAATCCTATTGCAGCTGCTTCGGGTTGGAGCTTTAGAGTGTCGGTCCCGGGGTAGCTTTGGGCTCAACTGGTGTAGTCGCGGGTCTACATTCAGGCGTACACCGCTGATTAACAAACCTACTGTTCAAGGGCCCTAATCGCAGAATACGTGCCTTGACCAGAGATCTACTTGGTGCCCTTTCTCACAAAGTATCAGCTCGTGGGCTACAACCCTAGGCTCTGAACTGTGCCTGAACCCCAACCCTTTTCTGTGGAAGTCTATCCAAACCGTTCAACCCTGAAGCCGTTGGTCTTTAGGGTTTGGTGCCCATGTTTTGCCACTTTGTCTTCAGGGTTCAGGGCCTGTGAGGGTCCTGGTCTTCAACACCTTAGGGTTTGGGGCCTTGAGGGGCTTGGACGTTAATGTTCGGGGCCCTTTAGATGTTTTTAGGGCTTTGGGCCAATACCGGTAAGCTAGCAGCTAGAGATCCTTTTCAACATGCCCCAAAAGAGGAGATGTCCCTTGAGAGCAGAGGGCAGGAGGTGCCTGGGTTACAGTGTCTGTGCCCTGCCCTGCAGGTACCTCGGGGTTTGTCAAGTCTGCTGTCAAATCAAGCGGTGGGGCAGAAGTGGCTTGCAAGAAACGTCCACACGGGTTTTTGTTGGACTCTGCTGCGTTTTCAGAAAGCCCTGGCCACGAAAAACCTGACGCCGTGCCTTCCCGGACCGTTGCGTCAACCCTTGATGCACATCGGGTTTAGGGTTTATGGGTTTGGGGTTTGGGGTTTAGGGTTACATGGATGTTGTGAAGGCATGGTCTCTTCGGTAATCTTTTTGCAGCGAACGGCAGCACAAGGACGAGGGCCAAGCTCAAACCTGTCTCGATTCAATCCAAAAAGGTGTTAGCTGAGAAAGATCCCAAAAGTTGCGGCGCCTTCTCTCTTAAGTAGTATTGGGGAGACCCCTTAAAGGGGGACCCTTCTTAACCCTTCTTATGGCTCTCTTTAAAACGGGGTCTTATTGAGAGGGTCTACGTCCCCAAAAGGTCCCCCCTATTCTCAAGATCGTGGCGGCCCGAGGTCCCAAGCTCTCAACTTGCGAATCCACCCCAGGGAGCCACGAGCCGCAGTGAAGTTTCCTAGTTTGGGTTGCAAGTGCTTCTATCTAAAGCTGCCTCATTGTTTATAGCACCAGAGTTACAAAGTCCCGCGATCCTCTGAGTAGGAACCTTAAACCCACAACCCGAAGCCCTAAACCCAACCAGGAACCCTAAGCCCACAACCCTAAAACTCCTAAGCAAAACCGCAGGAGGTTCTGCTCCCGCTCCTTCAGTTCTCCCAGCTTCACCTGGAGGCCAGATGACCCAGGGAGCCTCCGGCAGTCCTCAAGAAAGGCGCCCACCCAAGCAAAAAGAGAAGAGAAGGCCCTGAACCCCTAAACTTAAAGCCAGGGTTTAGGGTTTTCATTGGGTTCAGGGTTATAAACCGGCAGTCCTCAAACCCCGCCACCTCCCCACCCCCTCACCCAAGCAAAAGCAGAAGAGAAACCCTTACACGCAGGGTTTGGGGCTTAGTGTGTTTAGGGCTCAGGATAAACCCTAAACCCCACCCAAGCAAAAACAGAAGAGAAACCCTCAACCCCAAAACTTAAACCCAGGGTTTAGGGCTATAGTGTTTGGGGTTCAGGAGAAACCCTTTCCCAATCCACATGCGAAGCGGCCACAGATTTCTGACGTGGTTACTAAACTAATGCTCGAAAAAGGTAGCAGGTCTGCTCCCTGTATGGGCGTCGGTATTAAGCCGGGGTGTCCTGGAATCAAAAGCTTTTGGAGTTCGGAACCCTAAACCCTGAACCCCAAGCCCTAAAACCCTAAAGCCCTGAACCCCTAAACCTTAAACCCCGAAACCCCTAAACCTTGAACCCTATAAACCCTACTACAACCCTAAAGCCCTAAACCCCTAAACTCTCGGCAGCTTGAAGATTGGGAGAGCTCAGGGTCACTACTAGTACTCCCTCATAGTCCCTACATAAGCATGGTACAACCTACCGGGTTTGGGGTTTAGGGTTTAGGGTTTACCCACCACAACCGATTTTAAATCTTCAGACTATGAAGGCCCCTATGAAGGGTCGGGGCTTTCGGGCTCTATGGTTTCGGGCAATGGACTGTCTCCCATACTAGCCCTGATTCTAACAAAGATCCTAATCCGCTGAACCTGCAAACCCTAAACCCTAAACCCTAAACCCTATAAACCCTAAACCCTAAACCCTAAACCCCAAACCCTAACTGACTTTTTCCGCAGCTGCTCCAGGGATCGAGCTTTCAGTCAGATCACGAAGAGCGGCGAGGCAAAGCGGTAAAACGGAACATCCTCCGCGCCAAACCCAGAAGTCTTAACCCGAAACCCTAAACCCCAAACCCCTAAACCCTAAACCCTAAACCCCTAAACCCTTAAACCCCTAAACCCCGAAACCCGAA